AGGCTACCAAGGCTGCTGAGCATCCAGAACCACCAGCTGAGAATGGTTTCACTGCTGAGGTGACTGGTGAGGCTACCAAGGCTGCTGTGGCTGCTGGGCATTTGGAGGGTGGCCCACCACCTGAGAAGGGCACTCGAGAGCAGCACGGGCAACTGGATGTGGAAGCCAGGATTCGTATGATTGAGAGTCCCGGCTTTTCTTCAATTATTTTTTGTGTTTGCTGAACTGCTGACTTTCTCTGTCTTTTGCACGGTGTTTAGTCTTGGCTGTGTGTCTCTGGTTGAATCTGAGGGAACTTCAAAAGAAGCGGCAGCAGATGAAAGCGTCTGCAGCTCATGCGAAGAGTGCTGAAGTTTGCTGCAGGGATCAAGACCAAACGGTTCCCTTTCTCTATGATGACCACAGCTTTGCAGAGATCCAAGCTCGGGCCCAGGTCCAGGAGGTGGCTGAATCTCAGGAAGATGCCAAAGAGCTGCCCAAGTCTCAAGAGGACGAGGACTTCAAAGCGCAACTGCATTTGCTGTCTTTGCCAACGATGAAGCTGGGCGATTGGGACTGTGAGGGCCCTGCCGAGGACCCGGATTTGGAGGTTTTGCTTGACAAGGAGATGGGGTGTGAGCAGCCATCACAGCTGGCTGCATCTCAACTGGAGAAAGGGGACTGGCCTCAGAGCAAGGTTCCGAAGGAACCTGAGATCGTGGAAGTCCCATCTAGGGACGACTCTGCAGAGTTCCATCAAGGATACAATTCAGGGTTCCCATCTCCCTCTCCGATCTGCACGCCGTGTAAGCTGACTGAGGTTGAAACTTCTCCAGCGACCTCCAAGCCAGAACCTGCAGCTCCTGCACCCTCTGGTTGGAGCCCTGCCACAGTCGTTGAGTTGCTGGCAGCCATGAGCCAACATGGAAAAACTTTGGAGGATGCAATTCACCTTTTTGGAGAGAAGAAGGGTGACTCAAGCTTCGACCTGGGCAGGCTTTTTGAAGAGATTGATGAGAAGAAAGGGGAGGAACGAAAGATGAAGCCGAATGAAAGGGATGAAGAAAAGAATAATGGAGAAGATATGACCGCGAAGGCCAACAAGAACCAGAAGAAGAAGGAGGAAGAAAAGCCGAAGAATGATGATCAGGATGAAAAGCCGCAGGAGGTGATTCCTTCAGATGAAGAGCTGCCTCTAGTCTCGAGGCTTGACCAGTTCAAGTTGAAGAAGGAGAACAAACCAAAGGCCAAGGCGAAGGCCAAGGCCAAATCCAAAGGGAGGGGGAAGTGCAAGGCCAAGGCCAAGGCCATCCCCAAGAGAAAGGCAAGAGCAAGTCCAAAGCGAAAGGCTGTGAAGAAGGATGATCCAGAAGAAGAGAATCAGGAGGAGGAGGATGAGGAGGAGGATCATCACGAGGAGGAGGAGGAGGAGGAGTGTGAGGATGAGGGCCATGGTGAGAAGTCTGCACCGCCAGAGCCCAAGAGGAAGGTGAGGAAGCCTCGGGCCAAGAAGGAAATTCCTGAGAAGAAGGTGGAGGATGCCTTGAAGCGAAAGCGAGGGCAGAAGGCTGAAGCCAACAAGAAGGCACCTGACAATGATGATGCACCCCGAAAAGAGGTCAAGAAGCCGAGGCGGGATCAGAGGGCGGAGGTCAAGGAGGGATCTATGAGTGAGAGTGAGGGGGCTGGAAAGCCCAAAAGCCCACAGGCCAGTGAGCCGGCGCAGAAGAAGCGTCGTGAGTCTTCTTCCTTTGCCCGCAGGTCATGCCCAAAGACTTCTCCAGCCAAGGACAGGTGGGCTGCAATCCAAGCGACTTTCAAGACCCACATTGGCCCGAAGCTCGTGGACATGGGACAATCCATCAACCGATGGGAGGACAGGGTTCACATTTTTTGCGGCTCTTAAATTTCCATTGTATGGCCCACCCAACCAGGAGAGGTTGAAGGGCTTAAAAACGAAAGGTGTCACAAGGATCCTTGTGACACCTTTCGTTTTTAAGTCCTTTCAACCTCTCCTGGAACAACTCCCACCTTCAGTTCAAGTTTGAATTAAACCACTTTCAAAATTTCATGGCATGGGTTGAGGGAATGGCAACAACCGTGCAGGAACCTTGGTGGAGCACGGTCATCAAGGTCTTCAACCAAAACCGGTCCATCGAAGATGTTGCCCAGTACAAGAAGCTGGCTCTGACTTGCGTTCCCAACTTTTTGAAGCTTGTAGGGGAAAGCTAGGTCGCAGTGACTTATTCACGCTTTTGTGTGTGTGTGTGGTAGTGAGCAGTCTGCCACTATTCGATATGGGCTGTGTGCACCTAAGGGCACGCATTTGGGGTATCACGAGCACATGGCTCGTGCGTCATAGAAGCTGACATTGGTCAACGATGGAAAACATTCCTTATTCCTGTCCTGTCTGCTCGTGATTTGATTCATGTTATTTGGGCTCGTGCATCATAGAAGCCGCCATTGGTCAACAGCTGAAACCATTGGGTCAGTGGTGCATGCATATATTGCTGAAGCCTACCCCTTTCAACTTTGCCAGGTTTAGATGTACGGCCTCCGTCGTGGACAAATTGGCTTGGCAAAGTTTGGGGAAGGCTCATGCGCTTCTACCTCGGAGGGTTTTCCCGGCCTATTTTGCTAGTGTGTGTGTGTCTCACAAGCATGCATTGCTGCAAGCATGAATTGGAACAATTCTAGCTTTACGCTGTACAATGAACAGCCGTGAGTTGGATCACCCGTGCCAAGCGGTCGGTAGTAGCAATGGGGCCGACAGAACTGGATGTCTTCTTTCGACGCATGTTCAGTCTTCGTGTGCCCAAAGTACCATGTCCACATTTCAGCTGTTGCATGTGTATAAATCAGTCATTTTCTTAACAGAGTGGGCCACAAACATGGTGCTACAAACACCCGTTGCCGGCCTCAGGTGATCATCCTCCTGACTCTGCTCGTGTCGTGGATGCCTGATCAGGGCGATGTCAAGACTGAGATCCAGGTGATAGAATACTTTGCAGGAGTTGGCCGCATAGCTCGGATGGCCCATGCTGTTGGCCTACAGTCTACAGCTGTGGATTTAGAGTATGGGAAGGAGAAAGCAAGGGTTTCCGGAAGACGCAATTCAATGGATTTGAACTCAAACGCGGGCCTTGTCCTTGCTATCAAACTGATCTTGAGGGCCAAGTTCAATGACCTTGTAGCAGTGTTTGCTATGTGCTGCTCTTCCTTCGTTCCAGTAAATCGTGGAACTGGTTCCCGGGATCTACTTGTTCCAGAGGGAGATGAAAACGTGGTTTCTGTGAGACGATCGAACAAGCTCCTTTCACGGAACCTCGGACACTAACCTGTCCATCGATGTCTTGTGACCCCACCCCACCACATCCGGCCTGCTCTTGTTTGGATTCCTCCCAGGACAGTGATCTTGATGGTCCTTGCTATCTGCGCCGGAGGCACGATTATCATGGAGAACCCGCAAAACTCATTGGTAGCAATGCAGGGCAGATTTGCTTGGCTTGTGGAACTGCTTTCAGGGCAGAACATTTCTGCACCTTGGTTTCATGAACTATCTGCATCATGCAAAACCAACAGTTTGCATGTATACTAGCTATGCAATAGAATTCATTCCAATCCAAGCGGTGACTCCCAGTCAGCTAAGATGTACAAGATTCAGTTTTGGATGAGAAAGCATTTGGCGCTGACATGGAAGAGGACATGGGTTTGGTCCTCTTCCCGGCGCATCAGGGCTTTGGATCTAGGACCAATGACAGCCTCAGAGCGAAGCTGTTCGGTGCAAACTACAAAGCGCTACAAGAAAGAGGGGAAGCAAAAATGGCACGGGACGAAAGCTCTCAAGCAAACACAGTCTACTGTCATTGAGCAGTCCATTTTCTTCATTCTTCTTCTTCTACTATAAGTTTTCTTTTGCCCTCATGCTGTTTGTTCCAACCATTTGCTCAGGGAGTATACTTATCGATATGCTCGGAACATCGTGCAGCTCTTCCCCGACATGGTCGCAGACAAACCCTTTGAGTTACTGCCACCCGTACCCTTGTCATTTACATGTTAAACCCATGGGCCTGCCATATAGTGCTTGACAAGCAACACCCACTGCAGGTAGACATGGACAAGAGCCTCTTAGACCTTTTCATGGAGGCCAATTATGATGAATTTTGGGATGAATCGAGTGATCTGAGGGATGCGCTGCTTTACTGTAGAGGTAGTTCAAGAATTTGTATTCCTCATGAGTGGCGGGCGGCCCTACCCACGCATCTTTAAGGTGGATGCCTGAGGTCTGCGCGCGTCACTGAGGCAAAGGCTGCTGCAGCTTTGATCCTCGAAGCGGGCCGGTTATAAGTTGATCGATGATTGTGAGATCCATAATTCATGAGTTCCATGACAAACCACAATTCTCATGAAGTTCATGATGAACAACATTCGTCATGAAGTTCATGACGAATCACCATTCTTAGCTCAGTTCATGAGAAGTTCATGCATTGCATGACGAATATCTGCAATTTCTTCGATTTTGCAGAGGCGTCTTTTCGCGTCCTAGCGGCGTCTTTGCATGGGTTAGAGGCGTCTTTTCCCGTCCAGCCGTTTTCTAGAGGTAGGACACATGCACCTTACATTCCAATCTCGCGTGTTCAGCAGCACTACACTCATGGATGGTGAAGAGCTGCTGTCAGCACAAGACTTGGATGGCCTGGGAGACATTGAACTAGAGACTGAACTTCGCAGGTTAAAGGACTGGACAACATGGATTTTGAGTAGCTTCCCATTTGGCATTGTTCATGGATTGAGGTGTCTGCAAGCAAGTTTTCTTCAACCCCAAGTAGAAAAAATGCCAGTTCCGATTCCCATGGACAAACAATGACTGGCTTGTATTGCAGGAGCTACGGGATTCAACAACTATTCCGAATGCACCAATTCCAACGCCTTGCCGTGCACCCGATACAGCCACATGCCTGTGTTCCCGCATCGCCAGTGACCCCACAGATTTTGCCCCGCACTCTGTCCTATGCAAATGTCGCTTCCACTCCTGCAGATCCGGCAGGTCCACAGTCACAGACTGATATCTCTACACAGGCGCTTAGAAAACGGGTTGAGCGCTTGATGAAGCCAAAGGCCAGGGGTGGTCTGAAGGTCCCTCCTGAACTGATAAAGGAATGGGAAACTGGGGACCAGAACAAGCTGTTGGACGACTTCAAAAAAGCTGGACTGGACAAGGACAGACTCAAGAAAAAGTGCATATAATGTGGTGTTTGCAATCAGTGCTGAACTTTGCAGCAGCTTACCATAGGACCTATTCATCAAGAAAGCTACTCGGAGAATCCATGAACACATCGAAGAGAATGACTTGTGGGTGGATGGGGAGTTCATGTCAGAGCAACAGATGAAAGATGAAGGCTTCCCTGAGTACCCTGGTCCACAACAAACACAAAAGCTTCTCTGGTTTGTGCTGCTTGCTTTTTTTGGATGCCTTGTTTTTCTGGTGGGTCACACGACTGTGAGGCATCGTATCAATGAGATCAAAGCCAAATGTCAATCCAATAAGGGATGGGTTCGGCCCCTTGCTTAGCTTCATGTTGTGCACCAGTTTGGCAAAGAGATCATGTTGGATTTGCTCCTGCGGTTACTTGTGTTTCCCCAACCACTTAGGAAACACTAAAAGCATGAATGAACTACATTTCAAACCTGAATTGCTCACTCATGCAACTTATGGATATGATGCTACGTGAGGCGAGACACGTACGAGAAGAACAAGTTGGTCTACTGGTATGAAGGAAACCTGAAAGGCCGAAAAATGATCCTTGTACTGGGATTAAACAAGCTAGTGCAATGTCTTTGACTCGGCCCCTTCTTCCTATACCATTAGGGTTTGCGGTCCGTATCGCGTTTGCCACAGCCAAGGAAGCGGAAGCGCACGACCACCACTGCAGAGTCCTCCGATGTCTCTGATGCTGACCCGCTGGATGTAGAACCTGGTTCTGAGTGGGGCATGAAGGAAATGGTTGAAACACCAGGCTCGTGTGTATGAGATATGTATTATATATGTTCTTTACTGCTACTGTTTCTGAACCAGTTGCATTCCTGATCTTTAATCCCCTGGCTAGATGATCGGGCTCTCACAGAGAAGGCTGAAAACTTGGCAGAAGAAAGCAAGGCCTTGAAAACGATCAGCTTTCCAGAGATGGATAGTGATGGCCTTCCATCTAGCTATGTTTGCAAAGTCCTTGCTTGTTTGGGCAAGTGGCAAACAAAGCTCATCGGTTTGGCTGAACCGCTTGATAGCAGGGATCCATCTTTGAAGCCGTTCCTCAGCTGATGCTTGCATGAGTGCCTGCACCCCTCTATTAAAGAAGGGCCCTTCTAGAGCCGCCCCACTGAGGCTGATCACTAAGGCAGATGATGTTGGCAAGTCGCTGGATTCATGTGCTGATCGAATCTCAGAAGTGAGTTCTGTGGGGATTGCCTCTGGCTACACGCATGTGTCCCTTGGCTACATGTGGAGTTGGTCTAAGGGGGTCACAGCTATCACAATGTTATAAAACCAAATCGAGCTTACCCACCGAGTGCCACCAGAGTACTCACTTTGTTTTGTCCATTCTTCTGAAACATTGAGACGGGTTATGTGTGTAAGCAACGCCAATCCCCTTTCTCTTAAAATTGATAGCCTTTCTTTCCAAGCATCCGTATCCGAATCCTTATATGGAAAATTACACAAGTGGTCATTTGGTCACTTGATCTCTTTCAAGCTGGCTGGCCTCCAATAGCAAAAAGCACATACATGTCACATCAATGAGTATTCTAAGTTTGCTTCTGAAGCTTCTTCTCAACTCTGGTTGAACTGACAAGGCTTTAAATTGAAGGGGTGCCAAATGACCTAGCATATAGGATTTGAATCGGATTACTACTCTCCACGTGCCAACACCTGCCATTGAACAGTTTCTTCATTAGCCCCGTCAACACTTGAGGCAACAAGATGAACTCAAGAACATCTACATGGATTGCAAGAAAGGGCGCCGTGGCATCATTAGTTTGCTAGTTGAAGGTTGCCAACACCATGGCCGCAGTATGAGCTATGAGCAGTGTGTAACCTAAGCATGCCAAAGGCTACTTTGAACCCGACCCTGGCCCTACCCTTGAAGTTCTCGCGGCCAAGCCGGACCCAGGTGCCGAGAGGCATTGAACTTGATGAGCAGGGCCCAGCCTCGTGGCGCTGGGTTGGGTGTTTGGTTTTTGAAAAGGTTTTCAATGTGGATTCCTTCGTGTAACGCTACCACTGATTGAGCTCCATATTTCACGGAGGTTTGGTTTGAAAGGGTTCCAGCAACTGGCGTTGCCAACTTCCAAGGCCATTGGTGCGTTTCATGAAGCAACAGTCAGCCAAAGCCGCCAAGGAAGCGGACAAATCTAGAGTGAAAGTTGAGAAATAGTTGACTTATATTTCTTTGGGGGTTTGCATGTTGGAGTGGTTTGGTCTGGAAACTGAAAAACCTTCCGTGCGACAGTCTTACAAGGTGTTTCTGGTGTTGGGATCAACAGTCTTACCAGGTGTATATGGTGTTGGGATTCAGTCCAGCTCCTTCATGCTGATGGGTGTTAAATTCCCATCAATTTAGAAAGTCAATGGGGTTCAGTGCGTCGGGGAGCATGATCAGTGCTCTGAGTTTCATGCGCAGCAAGCTAAGCGCTTGTGAATGCATAATTGTGGCCTTGGGAAAAGTACTGTGCTGATTGCGTGTGTGCCCTCCCACTAACAGGCAGGCACCACAAATACTACTGCAAAACCAATAAGCCAATAAGCAAGCTTTGTTTAATTAAGAAAGGGAGTGTCAACGTGTCGAACATGTGCTCTTGCGTGCTTGACAGTGCCCCCGGAGCTTGGCAAACAACAAGCAGATTTGGGATTGCCAGGTCCAGTTGAGGCTGGGCCCATTCTACGTCATACCATAGAAGCTGTGGCTGATGGGGTTCCTTGGCCTCAACATCAGCCCTGACAACTGCCAAATGTCCATTTGGATTGGGTCGTGGAATCTGACCCCCCCTCAAGTTCTGCTTGGCCCCTCCAAGTAGTGGGTTTTTGGCAGATAATGCAGGACTTGAGGGGGTCAGATTTCATGCCCCAAGCCAAAGTGACTGACAACTCTCCTTCCGTCAGCCTGCTTGACCTCTATATAATCACCTATAAGGGTTTCTGTGGCCAAGGCGCCAATGCGCGTGCTGGCAGAGAAGACGAAAGCATTGGCAGATGAGCACGGGAAATCCTTTGCCAAGAATTCAATGGGCTCTCTCGGGTTGAGCGTTGCCAATGTGCCTGGTAGTGAAACGGCCTCTTACAGTATGGTTTCCCATGGTTTCCCTTGTTGTTTTAAATTCGGGACTCGAGGGCGGAGGGATTTGAGGGCAGGGCTCAGTAGAGAATGCCAGTGTGTTTGGTAGCAAAATGTTTGCTAGTGTGGTTACTTGACATGGGGCCGAATAAAGGATTGCCACAAGTATACATGAGTGACTGCTTGACTTAGTATTGTTCCTACAGCTATGTATCCAATGGGGCCTGAGGCAAATCAAGCGTTCAGCCGAGTGGTATCCAAGTTTCACTTCACCCTCAAGATCCCGATTGCTACCTACGTGCATGCAGAGGGCCCGGCCACAGCTTCACTCCCGTACCACAGCCCGACACAGCTCTTGAGTGTTCTTTTGGAAAAGTACCCAAGGCTGTTGATGGGTGGATGTGATCAAGAAGAGTGTTGCCGCCAGTTGCTGCTTGCATTTTGGGACTGCTATGAGCAAGAGCACCCAGAACATGAAATCTTCAAACAGAAAAACCGCGACCGGTTGGGAAAGACAATCCCCTTAACAATGCATGGGGACGGTGGCCGGACCCAGAAAAAGCAGCCCTTAGAGATTTGCAGTTTGCAGCCAGTCCTTGGGCTGAACAGCGCAAGCTGTGCAAGCGTGAGTTGCCATTGCCCAACCTCAGTGAAGCATGGCTCTGGCCAATTTGGTGACCCGCTGCGTCAATGCTTGAACAGCAAACACAACACGTACATGACTCATTTTTGCTGTTTGCATATCCATCAAAGAGCTACAAGGATTTTGCAAATCTACTTCATGGGTTGCTTCAGTGTGTTTGTGATGACCTCGCTGAAGTTTGCAAATCCGGTATCAAAACAGCTGGTGGTCGCCACTACTACTTTGCCAGTGTAGGCTTCAAGCTGGACATGGAATGGATGGCGAAGATAGGCTCCTTAACAAGGAGCTATCAGAACGTTGGCCATGTCAACCAAATCCCTTGCTGCCACGAGTGCGATGCAGGGGCGCATAATGTGCACTTCGAGGATGTGAATCCCAATGCGCGTTGGATTGCGACAAGGTTTGCAACACTACCTTGGGTGAGATCTCCTCCGTGGTCAAAGATTCCTTTTGATTCACGCAGGCCTGCCAAATTCCTGAGACGTGACGCTTTCCATGTGTTTCGACTAGGGATCGGAAGGAACTTCCTGGCTTCGTGCATCATGTTGATGTGTTTCATGGGCTGTCCCTTGCACGGTAACTTGAAAGAGTTTTCTGTGTAATTAATATCTGTGTTTAGTCAGTTAGGTTTCTCAAACGGTCCCTCTAATGAAAGGAGCATACAGATCATACAGGTTCTTTGTATGGCCAAGCCAGCCTAGGCTTTCCAGATCCAGATGGTGGAAATAGTACAGCGGATTGTTTGAAGCGTGCCTTCGGAAATCTATCCTTGTTTTGCTTTGTTAACAAGCTACACCTAGGTGGAATCAGGGGATTCACGCCTGCCAACTTCCATGCAGAAAAGTCTGCATTCCCGTGGGTTGGGTGCAAAGGCTCCGACACCGTGGTGATTTTGAAGTGGTTGGCCTTCCTGCTCAAGCTTCACCTTCAAGAGAGCTCCTGGTCCGCGACTGACCAACAGGTCCTTGAGTGGATGTTACAAGGGGCAACATGTGCCCTCATGTTCACACAAGGAATCCATCGCCACGGTGTATGGTTGACCCGTTCATGTGCTGTGCATTTGCGGCGTGCTGTGCAAAAGTTCGGAGGAGCATACGCGCAATTGGCCCAACACAGCCTTAGTGTGGGGTATTGCTTGTTTGGCATGGTGCCCAAATTGCATGCCTATATGCACTTCCGGACGGATCTGGATGATATGCTGAAGGATGCTGAACGCAACTTTGCTCTCAACCCTGCAGTCTTTGACAATTCAATGAGTGAAGATTTCATTGGGCGTGTAGCCCGCCAATCACGTAGATTGAGTTTCAAAAACATTGAACGCACAATCCTTCAGGCTTACCAAATCAAAGCCAAGTTTTGCTTGGACAAGTTCTCAAAGAACAAGTCTCTAAGGCCAGGACGCCAGATCAAGAACAGTGGTAGCTGAGTGATCAAAAAACAGCTGCAGGGCTGGGGGGCAGAGGCGTATCTTGCAATTCGCAGGCTGAAATCTTTTGGAGGGGTTGTTTCTGCAATCCACAGCAGTAGAGGCAGAAAAAATGCAAGGAGCATGATGTAGGTAGATATGTTTTCCAAAGAAAGAGGTGCCATGATTCTCCTGTGCTTTATTTTCATGGACAATGTTTGGGTCATCTCACCAAAAACCCATGTTCATCGCATGCCGAAGGTTCTGTGGTGCATCCCAGAACCAGGGGAATAGAGCTGTGAATAGAGCTTCGCTGCTGTGCTGCGACAAAATAGCTTTGGGAATCTCCATGGCAGCAAGTGCTCGTGATCGTCGGAGAAGAGCTCTACTTTCCAACACTGTCCAGCTCTGTGGACATGCACGTTACGGTTCGCATATGGTTTGCAGGTGTTAGAGGGTGGTGTTTCAGGGCAGCGTTTTGTCATGGTTTTGGATGCATTGCTGGCATGGTTTTGGCCAAAGACTTTGGCCGTACGAGACAGCGCTGAGTATCCATGGTGCTGCAGAATCTCACCACACCTATTTGGACCCGGTGCATCCTGGATGATCAAACACCATGAGGCACCGATGACATGTTCATGACAAAAATCGGCGCATAGCGCTACTCAACGTGCATCTTCTTCGCGTTTTTGATGATCCATTTGTACAGCTTGCACCATTTTGCACCGTGGACACGGAGTGAGGATTGATTCCTTGAGACTTCAGGTAGAAAGATGAGGTTCTTGCCAACAATATATACGGTTATATGTTGAGCTAGGCACGTGCCAGGCCCGAAAAATTCGGGAAAGGCCACAAGGCCTTGATATATACCTGAAGTGTTGTCAGATCGTTTAATTCAACCTGCGGCGTTTTGCACATTTGCTCCGCGCACAGCGGTTTGGGAGAAGACGTCGTCGAAGACGGGACGGAACACACGAGACGCAGACCTGCAATGGACCACCGAACAGGACCACGAGACGACGTGGGAAGTGATGTTGAAGAGGTCCAGAGCTTGGCCATGTCCAATGTTGGGAGGGTTCCCTTCAGAATGGAATTGCCTTGGCTGTGCTTGTCAAGCCATGCGGAATGCGGATCGATCAATGTCTGACGGAACTTTCAGGCAGCTGTGGGCGGGCTGGTAGCGGTGTTCTTGGCATCAGCTAGTTCCCAGTGCAGTCTGGGGAAGAACAGTGTCAACAGAGATCAAAAGAGCGTGGAGCGGGGTGGTTTGTCTCGTATGGACTGTGATGGGAGGCTACTTATGATTTGGCATGAACAGTTGATTTGCAGCTCATGTCTTTCAACTTCAAACTGGTGACTGTGGTTTGTCTTTAAGGCTTTATGAAGGGCTTAAGTATAAGTAGCCGGGTCTCCCTTCTTCGCTAAGTGACTGATACCCACACGTAGGTGTACTAGTACAATCCTTGCTCCTAGTAGCGAACATCGTTCCTAGTAGCAAGGCCAGGAGCTACTAGTAGCGTCCTTGCTCCTAGTAGTGATGCCCTTTGCTCCTAGTAGATTCTTTCTCATTTGTTTCCAGATCAGAAACAGCTCCAGTGCGTCAGAGTCATTGTTCTTAGTTATGTATGTCGGAGGGAGGCAGGGTGAGTGCATTATATATCATTATATATGCAATGGCTCACTTCCCATGTGAACAAATCAGTATGTAGCGTTTGTGTAACTCTTCATGTGATTCTCGAAAGGCTGATCAGGGAAGTAAAGCTGCGTGTTGGAATGCGTTAGAGTTGAACATGTAGAGTCCCACTGGACAAAGGTAGAAGCAGATACACTCTGGAACATTGGTAGATCATTTTGCTGGTTAGGTTGCTGCGTTGCATTACTTCATGAATTCTGCTGATCTGAAGCCATGCAGTCAAAAAAACACATGGAAATCCAGTTGCAGCATATTACCTAAAGATTCAGAACCATATGTGGATCATGAGTGCTAATAGAGAAAAGACAAAACTCGTGCTTTCTTGATGCAGACGTAGTGTGCAACTCTGATAACCCATGAGACATAGCGAGCCAATGTGAGGCATAGATTTGTTTTGCTCGTCCAAGTCAGACAAAACGAGTCAATACACACTGAACGGCCATGTCGCTAGATGCTGCGCTTCATGCACGTTTAGCGACCTCAGCTTTGTTGTCTGGCAGTACTGGAGGCAGAAGAAGAGAAACAGAATCTGGAGTAGCCTGCACTACATCCTGTAGCACAGTGGTGAAACATTTGCAAGAACCATCCCCCAAGAAGCTTTGTTTTCAGACACATTTTGCCAAGAAAGCAACGTCTTGCACGCCGATTGAGAGGCGTCGCGCTGCTGCTGGCGGTGTGCTCCTCCGATGAGGCAAGGTCAAAGCTTCACGTGAAGACCATGGAAAACCACCTGAGGTGGGCTTTTCGAAGATCTGACAAAAGCAGGCTGGGCTGAAGTTCATCGTCTGCCCCCATTTCTTACAAGATCTGCACGACCTCTCACCCCATCTGGAAGACCGGCGGCATTCTCTCTCCTTCACTTCACCGTCTCAGAACGTGAGTAGTGGTTGATTTGGGGGGGGCAGGTGCGGTCCGGGCCAGGCCTTGTGGAACGATGGGAGAGTGGATGATGGTGATGCAAGTCATATCCGCAAGGTGATCGACTTACCGCAAGGTGATAGTGGTGATGTTTGGTTAGAAGCTTGTGAGTTTGAATGGAAGGAGAGATGGATAGATGGATGGGTAGATGTCAGCACCATATGGAACTATCGGAAGGCTGATGGCTGGCATGCTCAGGACATTGCGGGCTGGATGTGGGTGGTGGGGCTGGGATAGATGGATTTCTTTGAGTGGGGAGATGAGGGTCTAGGCGAACATGTTTCCCGCGCGCTACACCTCGAAGTTTCAGACTAAGTCTTTTTATGCGCAAGTTTCTCTTCGTTGCAAAGTCTCGCGGTTGGAATAAATGCTAGCTTAAGAAAGAAAGACACAAATAGAGAAAGAAAAAAAGAAAGGAAGAAAGAAAGAAACACATAATGAAGAAAGAAGGAAAGAAAAAAAGACATATGTTTTCATGCCATCTTGCCATGCGTGTCGCCATTCCAAGATCCTTCCATTGGGTGCTGCCCTGGCTGCCTCGGTCCTGCTGCCCTTGGGGCGGCTCTTTGGGCTGTCAGCCGTGGTCATGCGCAGCACACGGAGGAGAGGCATCAGCCTTCGCGACTGGATCTGCAGTGGGAAAGGAAGAAAAATGAACGACATGTCGGGCATCGTATCTTCATTTCAATAGAAAAAGCGTTCCAAGAATGTTTCAGGTCGTTGAAATTCATGCATCTTGCAGCCTAGGAATGTTGGAAAAAGAGCTCCAACAGGTGCTTTTGCATCTTAGGTCAAGTGATCCTAGAGATCCTGTCATTCTTATGCACCCTGGTCTCCTGCTGCCTCTTCGCAGCAAGCCTGGGAGAGAGCGAGTCATGGGTGCGGCAGCCTGGTGAACCACCGGCGAAAACAGGAGCGCCGGATCAATAGCTTCTTGCTACGTTCGTAGCGATGCACCTTGCTACTAGTAGCGTCCGATCGCTCCTAGTAGTAAGGCCAGGAGCCCCTAGTAGCATTCTTGCTCCTAGTAGCGATGCACCTTGCTATGTTCGTAGCCTTCTTGTTACTAGTCATGGCCTCCAACTTAATGGCGATGGCCTGTAGCGTCCTTGCGTCCGCTCGCGATGGGTTGGACTGGGTTTTACTTCCGATCTTTGGCTCTTTCGCCTTCTTTTGACTCACCTGCAGCGTTTGGGCACTACATGAGCCCATGAGCCCACGACTGAGCTGACAAAACAAGTGAAGAAATGAGGTTGCAACAGCTGTTGTCCCAGGACAAAGAGCCAAAAGCTAGGTTTTTGCAGCACAACATCAGAAAAGGTGTCAAATGAAAGTGGGAAGCTCTCACAAGTCTTCTTCCACTGCGACAAACAACCATAAGGATTTCCTTTCAATCTGTGATGGGACCTTACTTCTCGCGATGCTTCGAAGTCCAAAGTCCAAGGAGAATGAGACCTGCAACCGACTGAAGAGTCTCGGTGACCGACTCCGCCAGTCTCGCGGCACCCCTCCGTCTCGATGTCGAGAGGGCGTCGAGAAAGACGAGAAGTCTCGGGTCGCCTTCGCCCAAGTTCCTTTGAGTCCCGAGACATCTCTGCCCTGTAGCAGTGAGATTCTCTCATGGACGCCGCACTTCACTTCTCCCACCTCGGATGGAGAGGCGTCGCGTCTTGAAACGCGGAGTTGCTGCTGATCAAATTCATAAGCACCAACACGTTGTTCACACGACATGTTCACACGACATGTTCACACGACATGTTCACACATGTTGACCTGGATCCAAGAAAAACGGAACACAGTGGATTCCTCGATCCGGCGTTTTCCTTCAGGTGCGCATGGATGAGGAGCGTCCAAGTGGAGGCTTGGAGGACCTTCGACAGAAAGTCCGTGCCATCAGAGGCGCATTGCAGCGGAGCAACACACAGCAGGAGACGGGCGACGTTTAAAAAAACGGACCGACGTGGTTTGAAAAACGACCGACTCCGATGGAGGTTGATTCTGTCATAAATGGATTCTGAAGTAGAAGGATGGAGGTTTGTACAGACTTGGTGGTAGCGATGGTCGCTCCATGATGGACCTTTCAAGTCGTCCTACCATCTTCGACCTTCATACCGAATGCATTCTGCCCCGAACACATGCCAGAACACCGGAGCCTCTAGTAGCGTCCTTGTTCCGGTGTTTTCTCGGTGTTTTGTACTCAGGCAGAGATGCAAACGATGCTGTCGCAAGCCTTGGATCGATGCGAAAGCCTTAAAGTGGAAGCGGCAGATGCCCAAAGGTCCGAGCATCCGAAGCATCGACGAGTCAACCGCGGTGTGTAGTGTGTAGTTCATGTGACTTTTTGGTCTGTTGAGCAACAAAGGCATGGCCGGCATGGCTTTCTGAACAATATTGACAATAAAAGACATGTGAATTCATGTGACATGTATTATACATATAGCGTCCTGTGTTTATGAGCTCACAACTCAGCCGAGAAACAGTCCAAGTTCAATCAGTGCTAGTGCGCAATTCTACACATTTGTATTCAGAAGCAAATGGATGTAACAAGTCGAAGCACCTCCATGTCAAGAGAGGTTGGTCCAGATTGCACTAAGCCGACTAATGAACCAGATAGTAGATCTGATTGTGATCCAAAACCATCTCTAACAGTCTAACAGTCTAACTACTTGCATGCTACCCTGTGATGTCTTCCCTTACAATAGGCTTCTTGAGTGCAGATATTGTATCTGTATTTTATGTAGGTCGTTGGTTTTGCCGGTACAATGTTGCAATGTTGTTCACGATGAAGATAATCAGCAAGCTAAATTGCTGTGCGGCAACTCTTATTCCATTCACTGAGCGCTGCAGTTCTCTCTGAGCCGCAGCGTCGGCAACTGGATCTAGGTTGAGAAGACAACAAGAGCAACATAACACCACTTTGAAGCAAGATTGCATGATCGCTAGGGCGTGTCCCAGCAAACCAGCAACAGTCGGCAAGCATTGTCACTATTCTTGAGAAATGCTTTCACTAACCATCATCGTCTACTGTTACTGCTAATGGGATATACTGATATACCCCTAAGATCGCCTTTTGTCTTTTCAAGTGCAGCTGGTGAATACCCACTTGCAGATTGAGATGCACAGATTCAGGAGCAAAGAGCATCACCACCACCGCTGGTGCATCCTTGACCAGGAGCAGCTTACCATGATAACCGTCAGAAACCGGGGCTGCTTACATTACATACGACCCTTTTCACGCATTGTGAAGACAGTCGCGAACATTTTGTGGACTTGATATGGCCGGATTTGCAGAATCCACTCTGAAAGATTTCAGATGCCAAAAGGCACCAAGATGACAAGTAGATTTGACCCCCAAAGCAAGCAGTCCTTGCTTCTGACTTCTTCAGTCTGTCAGTCTGACCCCTTAGACGACACGTCGCTGCGCTCCGTCGCTCCGCTGCGCTGCGCTGCCAGGAGCGTGAAAGCTTGCAGCGCCTGGCACATCAGGCCAAAAGCTCGGAGCAAGCCGCGCGCGAGGACCGCGATGACCGTACGGCCATGCGCCAAGCGGCTCATGTAGCTTTCTAAGCGATCTGTGTTCAATCAAAAGCCTTTGAAGAGAATTACAATCCCTCAGTACCTCCAGCCGCCAGCCTCCAAACTAATAGCAAACATATATTGAGACTTCTTCCTTTTCCTTTTTCTTGTTTCTAGTAGCGATGGCCTCCAACCCAGTAGCGTTCGTTCTTTTTGTTTTCGAAGAAAGCGAGGAGGCCGTCGCCTGGAGAGCTTGGCTCCGAAGCTTCTTGGAGCTTCTTCTCCGCGACGAGAGGGACGAGGCAGCGATGAAGGCAGCCGAGATCACGCTGAAGCACCTGAAGACCGCAGAAAGGTGCCACATTTGGGGAGTGTTTTAGGCTGTTTGAGGGTGGCTTGGAGTCTTTTTGTTGGGGGCGAAGGGTTGTGGCGTTGGTGCCAATAACATGTCATTCGTTCAACTATGATAGTAGTCACCGCCGTCTTCATGACTGGTGTACAAGAGATATGAGTAGACATGAGTGCTGACTACAGACATCCACAGAGACTTCTCACCTTTCCACATCATTTGCTTCCAGAGGTCCTTGCAGCCAGAACTCTTAGCCAAGATGCCAGCGCTTTACGAAAGCTTGGCAGAAGCCTTGAGTGGTGTGAGGGCTCAGGATGCAGGTTTCCAAAAGGCACAAGCTCAGGCCGGCCATGTGGGCACTACCAGCGGCCATGATGATACTGCGATATGATACTTCACGGCATTGCTCCGTTCGCAGCGATGCCCTTTGTTCCTAGTAGCGAACATTGCTCCTAGTAGCGATGCCAGGAGACCCTAGTAGCGTCCATTGCTCCTAGTAGTAAGGCCAGGAGCACCTAGGAGCGTCCTTTGACCCATTTGTACCATTTTGTTTATCGCCAAGGGTTGCTGAATGTTGCTGATTCCTTAAAGTCATGCCATATGGATTAGGTTGCAGATTTTGCACCAAGATACGCCATGGACTTCCCTCAACAGGCTGAAGTGGATGATCGCGTGGCGCAACTTGAACGTCAACTGGCCCAAAAAGAGATCTCACTGGCTACTTTGGAGCAAGCCTCTTCGCTGGATTTGGAGAGTATTGTCAGGGTGCGTTTTCACCTCAGGATGAGTAGACTCGGCTTCACTCTGTCCCTAAGGGCTGTTTGGGTTTGGGAGTACTTGTGCGGTCCATGTGTTTCTATACACCATTTGAGACTTCGAAACCACTCCATGGCTGCACATGCTACATCCTTCGGCCATGTTCCGCACAGACCTCAGAGTCGCGTGTTGTAAGTCTGACAGAACCACGGCTGGAGGTCCCCACTCTTCTCGCATGCCATTCAGGACAAGCGCAGCTTGCGATCAGAGGTGAGAACGTTGCAGAACACGGTGCAGGAGTGTCTCGAGAGGGAGGGAGTGTAGACGAGGGTAGAGCTGAAGAACATCTGTAGAGCTCCACTGGTGCTGTCTCCATGGTGAAACCCGACACCCCCAACCTGACCGGTATAGAGATGATCAACTTGGTCACACTGCGCAAGTGTGGGGTTGGCAGGAGCTTCGTGGAAGCATCCGTGTCTTCTGCCGCATCCGCCCACCCAAGCAGAAGGCAGATGCTTCTGGCGCATTTGGTGTTAAAGCAGAAGGCTCCAGGAGTGTTTGTTTGAGGAAACCTCCAGGCAACTTGGAGGCTTTAGAGTCGAAAACACTCTCTCAAGCATCTTCCATGTGTTCAGTCTGAGTTTCCTTCTGTTCAGTCTTTGAAGCGGTCGAAATGGAACACTTCAAAGCCAGACTGTGCGACGTGAACATCAACCGGAACTCGAGAAAGACCGAAGTACCGCAGGAAGACCATCTGAATGTTCTCGGAACCTCCAAGAGAAACGCCGCTTAGAGCACCACATGATGGTCATATCGAAGCCGATGGCGCCGAGTCTAAGGTGAACGGCGGCATGACTTCAACTTTGATCGTGTTTTCAGCCAGCAAGCTGGCCAAAGCTCCTCGTCTCAGAGTCTGACATGTGCAGTCTCCCGAGCAAAAACATGGTCGGCCATCTGCAGGGTGAGCTCTTCTGAGACCCCAACTTCACCGTTTGTTTCCTGAAAAAGACACAAAAAACAATATGACATTTGGGGCATTGGCGGAAACGCACAGCGAAGAGCGGTTTACAGCAACTCTAACTCTCTCTCTCTCTCTCTTTCTTTTCACTCTCACCTCAGACATGCTGTGACGAGAAGTTGGCGCTTTCGCTCTCTTTCACTCCTCCAAGTTGATTCGGGCGCCATGCTTTCGGCGACAGCTGAGGAGAACTGTACGAGGAAGTGGGACCTTTGCTGCCGGGGATTCTGGAAGGGATTCACCTTTGCATTTTCGCCTATGGTCAGACAGGACTGGGCCGGTCATCCGGTCATCTGGTCATGGACCCGGTCATGAGAGACATGACCCGGTGGGTGTTTGGAACGACCGGGTCTTCCCAGAAATCACTCCGGTCATAAATAACTCCGCCCCATGCGCCCGAGCTGCTCTGTTTGAGCTGAGCCCCGGAAGCGCCCATCCGTAACCCCCCTGACCCGATGGACCCGTGAAGCTGCGTGAAGCTGCAGGAGCTGGAAAGACCTACACCTTGGCGGGTCAACGGAGCTCGGGGGATCCAGGGATTCAGGACTTGGCGATTGCTGATTTGCTGCGCTTGGCAGAGAGCTTTGAAGTGAGGCTCACAGCACTGGAGATCTACAACGAGTCCATTCAGGATGCTTTCTGAAAGGGTGGCGTTTCCATATGTGTTGAACATCTTTGCATGCTGCTTTGAATTGGTTTCAAGAGCAGGGGCAATGCAGATACTCTAGATACTCTAGATGCTTTCTGCGTGACTTTTTGCACGTTGGAAACGTCAGGATCTTCTCTCTGATGCAACGAGTGAAGCTGAGAGCCGAGATGAACGGCTGGAAGTGCGGCAATCGGCGGGTGCCATCTCCGACGTGGCCGATCTTCACCCGGCACAGGATGGAACGGGTGCCAACTCGGCCGATGCCAACCAGACCGGGAGCTCCAAGTATTCACCCTTTGGCTCGATGAGAGTTCCTGGATTGAAGTCATGGAGCATCCAGAACTTAGCAGACGTGGAGGATGCTTTGCAAAGAGTGAGAAACAAACGACACGTGGCCAGCACGGCACTGAATGAAAGATCCTCACGATCTCATACAGTGATTTCATTGAGCGTGCTTCGGAGATCTGGCGCTGAAGTGAACGGTGTTCCTGTCGGTGTCTTACATATTGTCGATTTGGCCGGAAGTGAACGCACGAAAATCTCACAAGCCGAAGGGATTCAAATGAAAGAGGCGAATTGCATCAATCGCTCTTTGTCTGCCTTGGCAGATGTCCTCTTTGCATTGGGAGACTCCACCAGTTCGGCTCATGTGCCTTACCGAAATTCCAAGCTCACCTATCTTCTTCAGGATGCTTTGGGTGGCCCTGGTTGCAAGACCTTTCTCTTTGCCCAGGTCTCACCCGATGCACTGGACGCGAATGAGAGCTATTCCACTCTCACCTTTGCCTCCCGTGTGGCCACCAGTGTCCAGAAGGGTCGCTTGCGACCGCGTGGCGCAGTGCCGTCGCCCTCCCCGAGGAAATCCCCACAGCGGGAGGAGATGACATGGAAAGGACCGGGCAATGGACTTGCAGGAACTACTCCGCCGTTGCCGCGGCGGAAAGAGGAGAAGTGAGCCAAGTCAGTCCAACAGCGGGGGTGGATCCAGGAGTCTGAAAGAATGTTCGCGACGCTGATTCTGCCTACTCAATTATAGTTCGATCAATTCGTGGCACCACGGATGCATCTAATTCGATGGGACGGATTCGGATTCGGTTCCGAAGACATGTGGATCGGTGGAGCCGGTGAAGGAACTGTGAGGAACTGTGAGGTGTGAAGCCGAAGCATTCTCATCGCCGGTGTTGGAAGTCGAGCAATCAAATCGCCGGTGTTGGATCTGAGCAGAAGCTAAGACAGCTAAGAGAAGAATTTGCGGAGATGCATTGATCCTGCAACAGCATTGAATTGTAGGAATCCCTGAATGTTGTGATTCACAAGAAATCATGCATCTATATGATATGCTTCTAGGTTGGATGCCATCGCTAGTAGTGTGAGATATCTCTCTTGGGTGTGAAGATGTTGCATGTGTATGCCCATCAAATCGCTGAGATCATGAGTCTGGCCCTGGCCACGGTGTCCCAGATGAGGCAGCTCGGGAGGCAGGGCTTGGTGATCTTGGTGAAGGGGGCAGATCGATGAAGAACATATTTTGATCCGGTGCCGATATCTAAAGACTGAGTTGATGTGCAATGCTTTCACATCCGCTTATTGCGCAAGAGAACGTTTTCAGAACGAGTTCCTTTGGCACTGCAAGCACACGTCTCCCTTGTGAAGTCCACTGTCCACTGTGCAATCCGTCTTTGCGTTCGACTACGAACGTCGTGCGCGTCGTCGCGGTCGTTCGACACAGTCGGATCGTTCGACACGGATCTTACGCCACGGTGGGTCGCCGTCGCCGCTGTCCAGGCAAGGGCTTTCTTGGGTCTACTTCCCCCCAACAGCGACCCATCGGAGGGTGTGGAGCTCGACGAAAGGATGCCGAAACACGAGCTGTTTGGGTTAAGACGAGGCATCAATTGACATGTCATGATTTAGAAAAGAGGCGGCATTTGTGGGCATTCCGCCATAGCTACCAGCTGACAGTGCTACTCATGTTTCTTTGAAGTGAATCATGTCAGTGCTACTCATGCTCTTCTTTGCTCCAGCTCAGCTGAGGTGAAAGCGCAGCTGCCTTGGTAAAAGCTGGCATGCCTTGGACGAGTGACGACACACGACGAGACTCGTGGACTCGGACTCGGTCAAAGCACACTCCATGAAGGGCAGTAAAAGCCGCTCAATCACCCCCAATGATCCCCAATGTAGGTAGAAAAAAAACGAGTAGAAACAAGTGCATCGCTTCTAGTAACAAGTGCCTTACTAGTAGTAACAAGAAGCTAGTAGGCAATTCAATTACAATTATTTAGAAAGCCAGCCGATAGGCTATAGGCTAGGCTAGAGTTGTCGATGGGCGAACGAAGTGAGTATAGGGGGTGTGGGGGGGGGTTGGTTACTTAGGTAGCCTGGCAGGGTAGGGCGAACCCAGAGCCTGGTGGGGGAGAGAGAAAAAAGAGGCGTCACGAAAAATAGTGAACATGTATGGCTTTTGGGGTGTTCTAAGGGCATCATTATCATCAGGGGCTCAGGAGTTTGGGCAGTCTTTCGACAAGGGGTGGGCGTTCACGAGGGCAGGAAAGGGGGACAACGTGACAGGAAAAGAGGTTGGGAGCCCACCAGGAGAGGGCTGTTAAATGGATGAAGCAGGCCACCTTCAGAGCTATCCAAGGGAGTTGGGCTTTGGACAACGGGTGGGAGTTCATGTCGGGGACAGGAAAGGGGGGACAACGTGACAGGAAAAGGTGGGGTGTTTGTCAAGTAAGCCATTGTGTCTTGGGCTCAGCTTCGCTTTCCTTGGACGACAGCCTGGACGGCACCCTGGAATGCTGGATTCGTTTGGGCCAGGATAGTCGCTTCTAGCTTGATGCTCACGCTGTTCTGCATGGTGCTGATGATGTGCCGCACTTACATTTTTTGGCCCGAATGTTTGTTATAACCATTTGACATGGGTTTCTTCTTGTGTGACCAGTGCTTGAACACACATACTACCACATAATCGAACATCTTGGGATCTCCGGTCTCAGAAAGCAATTTCCGTTCCCAGAAAATACCAGGCAGTTGTTTCATCTATATATATATATGTGTATGTGTTTGATAGATGCTTTAATAGGAATGCCTTTCCACCAAGACTAGCACTGATCAACTTCTGTCTACCCAGGGCAACCTCCAGTTTCAGCTTCGGCTCCTGGCTTTGTACCGGCCTGGTAGTATCATCCTCAGCCAGCAGGGCCTCCCATGGCTTCCCCCTCACGTGATCAAGACAAGACTGTGTTTCATGGATGTCCAAATGGACATCGACTGCCAACAAAAAGGTTAAGTGACCTCAAACGAACTCGACCGGGGTACCTACAGTACTATATAGGGTCCTTCAACCTCTTTTGGTATGTTATCTACTCGGGCCGGGGTTTGAGTTGGCACCATTGACCATTGATCTGTCGATTAGGCTGCTAAGGTCTATGCTCCACATTCATTTCCTCCATGCCAGCCAGACCGGGTGTTCACATGCGTTCATTGGCGATTGTGTCTCAACAAACAAGAGACCGCGACGTTCTCCACCTGTAACGGCCGAGTTATATATAGAAGAAGCTTGTTGTGATGTGCTTGCCTTTAGATTGACGAAAGCTGGAAGGTTTTTGCCTCTGTGGAGCTGCAAGAAATCTTCCTGGAGGCCCATGTCCATGGGCGGATGTCATGTCACCTTTCGACAGCTGATGAGACAGCTGTGTCATCGTATACACCTTCATCCTCATCACAAGAGAAACCTTCCAGCCGAAGCTGAGACCTGCAGTCAGTCTTGGGCCCTCGTGCCTTTTGACCCGTCGGAGATGGGCCCAGCTCGTGCCCTTTTGGGCTTCGCCGCCGGTTCTCGGCGTCGCTCGCCGTGAATCGCCGGAGGGCATCGTTGGGCCCAGCTCGGCAGAGGGTTCGGAGCTCCTGGAGGCCCGCGGCCCGCGGGGACTGATCTACTAAGTCTTCGACTCCGGGACTGGCATTTAGATGGCTATGGCTATGGTTACATTGGGGGTGGTTTAGGATGTTTAGGGGGATCAATGTAGGCATATTGATTCCAGTCCGGAGTCTCTAGGGAAGGATAATTGCTCCTTTGGGGTCGTCACAGGATGTCGACATCTCCAGGTGTGCTGTGTTTTACACTGACATCGCTGGGTGCTAGTCAGTGCGAACTTCTTGGTGAAGCCTATTCCTTGGTGCAGTCAGATTGTATCTATAGCATAATGTATCCTAGACCAACAGCGAGAAAGACATATAGGCCCTTAAAGACAGAGAACTTCTGAAGGACATCGCCAGAATTACCAGGGCATGGTATATTCATGGGGTGATTGGGGTGGAAGAGGGTGGGTGATTATATTACACCTGGCTTCGAAATCATAGCTCGGGGACTGTCTTGCGGTATCCTGTCTTCTTCAGCTGGGAGGCCCTCGTCCAGCCGCTGAGCTGCGAGGGTCCTGGACTTTCCAGGCGGATTTGGTGCGTGAGACGCCCATAGTTCGGATGAGGAGTCGATTTCAAGAACTTGAGCTACATAGACAAAACCAACTGGGGTTGAAAAAAAGGGACTTCATTCCATTTCAGCAGATCTTGATGAGGACAAACATCTTATGACACAGGAGATCATCTTCATCTTATGACAGATGTTTGTCCTTTTCTTTTGCAAAAGAAGAACCCTGCCATGACAAACATCTTATGACAGGGTTCTTCTTTTGTCTTCGAAGCGTCATGTGACTCTTCCAGGTGGCTGGCCCTGGCAGCCTTAGCCCATGCGGTGGTTTACAGGCATCAGGCGATGTGGTTTACAGCCAATAAGTCTTTTCAAGACCATGGTGAGATGTCTTTCACCACCTGGTCCGTTTGCACCCTTTTACTAGGAACAAGAGAACAAGTAGCTCCTTTGCATCATTAGCCGTGTGTTTGACTGCGGCCTACAAACGCCGACACCTTTGGCCTCCGGCTGGCGGTTGGGCGTCTGTCGGTTTTCCAGGGACAGATGCTTTCCAAAACCACAGCCTTTGGCTACCCCATGGACATTCAACCGCCTGCCTTTGCCGCCCAGGCGCCGAGCCGTGTCACAGTAATTCTTGGACATGTTGTGAGTGTGTCGTGTCACAGCAGTGCTGACGGTCGTTGTTGCCCTGGAGGTGTTTGGGACGAGAAGTGCTTGCCTTGGGCGGAGTCGAGCACAGAAACATCTGTGCAATACGATCTGAGTGAGGTTCATGATTCACGATGGTGTATGTGTCTTGTAAGTTGAAGAATGGCACTTTTGACACGCATACACACACACAGCACACACACACATATGTTACATGATCAGATTTTGCAATGGCCTGGCTGCCACGCTGACAAGGCAAAGCCGTGTCCATGTCAACCTCTGGTCTTCAGGCCTTCATACTTGCAACCAAATGCAACTTTTATTATCCCACATCACCAGCACCACCCAAAGGGTGGTTATTAGATGGAACATAGATAGTCAGGGGGGTCCATAAACCACCTTGGGGTGGTGCTGGCACGCACTTCATATTTGCACCTGTGTCACCTGACATCGACTGGTGGGAACCCACCGGAGCGCCAGGCGCCGGACGGACGTAGCTTCTTCGCGGTCTACCTGCAGAGCGGCTTGGAGGCGGTCTGCGAGGTTTGGGAGGAAGAAGGAGGACACATACTTTAAGGAAACGACTTTATAAGGAACCAAATGAGCTAGAGGCGAAACAGTTCATGTAAGTGTTTGATCTTCGAGGTTCCACTTTATGATGCGAGTTGCCTATGCCGTGTAAAACGATATAGCGAACTATATGATGTGAGTGTCTCCAAACCATGTAAAACGATATAGCGAACTACCAAAACCGATACTCTGAACTATCAGACCTTGTTCCATTGTTACTGTTCATTTTCTTTGTTTGAGTTTGGTTATCTTCTAGGCTTTCAAAAGAACAATGGCACTCATCTGGGTGTCTTTTGGCAGCTGCTAGACTCAGCTTGTGGTTGTGACAGAACCCTCACACGCATGTGCGAAGTCAAAAAGGATTATACCAAACCCTGTAAAACGATATGGTGAACTACCAAAATCGATAACCTTGTCAAAATGGAACCCAGTTTGCAAGGAGGTTTTGCCGGTCGCTCAAATAGCCATGGCCACCAACCTACTAGCAATGGCCTCCAACCTAACTCGCATGGCAGGAAAAATGAGGAAAATGGACAGCATGGCGCTGTACGGTGAACATCTTCCCCCTTGGGAAGATGACTCATGGGATGGTTTTTGCATCTGTGATGCGTTCGTGATTTTTCTCCACAAACATGTAGTCCATTTGGGTGAAGAGGCTTGACATGGCTTGACCGCTGAGTGAGATCAGTTGCAGGTCCTGAGAGAGTTTACCATCCGCGTGCAGTGTATCGTGGCCGCTTCTCGGTCAGAAGCTGAGCCGCGGCGGAAGACCAGCAGTCACCAGTGCACTGTTCGGTGTCTGCAGTATTTAGCCGGTGCTCAAAACTGGTGTTCATTGGCCCCAGAGCAACATGAAGCGATTCCACCAAACATGATACTTCTCGATCACAGGCACGTGCCTGCTCGATCATCATGGCTTTGAGCCATTTGAGCCATCCGCTGAGGCATAAGGGAGCAAAAGCCCTTGACCTGTCACAGTTGCAGGTGCCTTTTTCAGAAAACATTTTCCAAGATTTTGCCCACTGCGAAGACATGGTTTTCCCCTCTCAGACAGCCCCTCCGTGATCAAAAACGGATGGAGTCGGAGACGGGAAAACGATGAGTCATGGACCGTCACATGGAGTTTGCACAGAACTGAAAGCCTGAGGAAAGCATGCATGCTTAGCATGCTTATAGCATGCATTTTCCCCTGCAAGCCTTGCCAAAGGGCCTTGTGCCTCTTCGGCCTCCAACCTAAGAGCGATGGCCTCCGTAGATCGATCCTTGATTCTGTGAATCGTTGGTGAAATCCAGTCGTGTTGTGAAACACGGCGAAGCATGGCGAAGCATGACGACCTGACACGCTTGCAACAGTCTGACAGTCGGAAGGTGCTAGAGGCTGATGTTTTACAGCTAGCACCATTGATGAGGAGGGCTTGCAGCTGAAAGGCAATTGACATTTCTCGAGACATGTCTTGATTCCTTCTTGTCAACTTTCATTTCTGTTCCGTTTGCCCTGTTTCACATGGACTCGACCAAACCAACACCACATTCTCGTGAGTGAGACACAGTGGGCGCAGATGCCAAAAATTCGACCGCAGACCGGCAGGATCGCTGCCGCTGGACTCTGTGGCTGGATTTGTCTCAGTCGGAATTCTCAGCCGAGACGTACTGAATCAATGCAGTTTGGACGTACTGAGTGCTGGTTCACTCAGACCAGTCGTGAACAGATTCCATCATATTGCATGCTTAAGCATGCTTAAGCATGCTTAGCATGCATGTTTCCCCTGGAAGCCTTGCCAAAGGGCCTTGTCCCCGTGACATGCTTCGGTGAGGCCGTGACATGGACGACCTGGGGAAGGTGCAGCGAGAAGATGCCTTGAGCAAGGCGGACGGACGTGGACGGTGCGGGCGGACTGACGTGGGACGTGCTTCGCTCGCCCATGTCTTGGCCGAACATGACAGAAATCTAGGCACGTGCCGTTCAAGTCAAGGACGAAACGCACAAGTTCCAGAGAGTTCAAGCACTGGGAACGAAGTTGAGCGGGGGCGGCAAGTAGGGGGAAAAGTCCCATCACTCTTGGCGATTTTGTGCGCCTGAGGGCCGGGCCTTTTCCGACTAGGAATGATCTGGACCACGAATGACCACCGAACACGGTCCATTGGGCGAAGCTTACCAAAAAAAAAGATTGGAACCCCTCAGCGAACACAAACAAAAAACAACACGACGCCGTCGTCCAGATTCAGCTTTTACAGTTGGAAGTCGCACCCTCGTCTTTCCGTTTGGAGGGTGTGAGAGGGGTGAGAAGAAGGGTATTCCGAAGATCCTGACTCGAACGAAGAGGTCATCTATGAGCTTTGCGGCGCGCTGCAGGCTCTGAAGCGCAACTTGTCAAGCACTTCTTCAAACTTGACATATTGATACTGTGAGAGCATGGCTTTGCTTGTGCACTGAAGCTAAAAGCAGGAGGCCAAATCAAACCGATCTTGCATATGATCATGGAATAAGTGTTTCGGAGAAGTTTGGATCTTTTCTTGATTTTTCTTGCGTGTGTCCGTTTTCATGTTTGTGAATCACTGGCCTTTCTTGGGGAAACACGGAACTTCTCTGAGTCTCCCAACCGAGGTTTGATTTCACTCCGTGGCCTTCTGGATTTCGCTCCACCGACGGTGCGGGGAGCGCAAAGTTCCTTCGAGGAGGCCGAAGAATGATCGAACGACGCGGCTGAACGGGGCTCATCGGAGCTCCATGTTGTTTTTCCCTGTAGAGTTGAGTTGTGACAGGAACAGTAGCGGCAGTATAACAGGTTAGTAAGCTTTCGGAACATATATGATAGCTTCCCTGCTCAAAGCGAAGCCGGTCTTCCAGTGTTCCGTACAAAGAGGCACAGCACAGTCTGTACCAGCTGCTGATGACCTTCGAGCATTGTGGGCTTCAACAGGCGGCAGCCTTGGAAGCCTCCCCTCCTTTTCTGTGGATACTTGTGGCCACACTCGCCTAGATCACATGGATCATATTCGAAATTGATTCAATATCCTTAGAACCCTCCTTTGTTTACAATCGGACGTTCATTTTTGCATCATGCATTGGTTGAGAATTGCAACTGTCATATTTGTGTTTGTCCACAGGGAATCTGAACAAATATTAGAAGGGAGTCACGTCGCGACAACCACGAAGAAATCATGTTTCTTTGACCCCAATATGACCATCGGGGCTTCTTAGATTTGACCTAATAATCCGGCATGCAGAGAGAACGTGACATGGCGATCTTTGTTGTCCCTTCGCCTCAGGTTATATTGCCACCGCTCTACAAGCCCTGGGCTTAGAACTTGAATGAACGATCTTCGATGTTTTTCTTCACTTGAAGGCGCTGCTCATTGCGCCGTTCAGAGACCAGGGAGCGCCCCCCATTGGTGACATCATCTGCATGACTTTGATACGGCAAGTTCTGTTCCAAATTACAGACCAAGTTCTGTCGTCTTCGATGTCACAGTCGAGTGTTTTCTGACCACTCCCAACAGAAAACCACCATGCGTGGATGGTGCCCCCATTTCTTGGAGCTCGCAGTCTCACGCAACGCAGTCTCAGTGCTTGAGCCCTTTTCTCTCCAGATTGTCACGGAAGATTTGTTTGCTGCTCCGAATGGAGGCGAATGCTGGAGGACATGATGCGCGACTTCTGAGTCTGTCGTCCATCCAGCTGACGCAGTTCACTGCCGTGCGCGCTCAAAAAAGCAACTGGAGAAGACGCGTTGCGACGCGTTGTGGAACAAGTCTTATGAAGAGCAAAACACTGGCCAAGAACGCTTTCAAGCCAGCACCGTTTTAACTTGTGCTGCTCATGGTGATTCTTGCAATTGGACCAATCACACGTTGATGGATGTTTATTCTTGTCGAGCTTCGTCATGTGGTCCTTACTCGAGCAGTGGTTTTGTCACAAGTTAGTTTGGGCCTCAGACAGACCAAGCGCGGCCGGCCGGACTGCAAAAAAGGGTTTCCAGGCTGCACAAGGGCCTCTCAGTTGATCCATTTCTTCGTTTCACGCCTCGTTCATACCCAAGCCTTCGGAGCAGATGACAGATGTCGAGTTCGAGAAACGTGCAAAAGAGACGAGAAAAGGGACAAGTAAAGACTGTTAGTTTTCATCGGACAGACATGAGCACATGAACCACAGTCCGACCGGGCATCGGAGAACAACACGGCGCAAAACGTTTTCCCAGTCAGAACAAGTCGATTCCCACAGAACTGTGAGACGTGCAAGCAATGTCTCATCGCGCATCGCTGAACCGTTGAGCAATGTCAGAAGAGGCACAGGGATGGCTGCGTATTAGTGAAAGGGTTCACGTTTGCCTTTTAATTTTCGGTTTCGTGTATATTACACTCGGTAGCCCAGGGTAGCTAGGAAGAGTCAGGTAGCCCAAACCGCTTGTTGTGTTGTAGGAGAAGGTGCACCAGCTGGTCGAGGTTGTTGGCATCGATGAGGAGGTGTGGACCATTTCAGCCTGCGGAGTGTGGTCAGTGAACGGATTCAACGTGCAACAGATGTCGAACAAGATGTTCAGGGATGGTGCATTTGTTCACCAACCAGCCATGCTGGTCCAGCTCTTTACCGCTTTGCAGTTCTTTACCACCACAGGCTGCAAGGAACTTGCTGGAGGCAAGCCAGTGGAATGTGGAGGACCGACTTGGCGGAGAGCGGCGAGAGGGCTCGGCTGAAGGCATCTCGTTTAGCTACCACATGCGAGGGCAAGGTTACAGTAGTAGGTTAGCAGCAAAAGCAAACACATGTGTTTTACATGTCCTAAGCGCGTGGGAGGGGTAAACATGCTCGCAGCCTTGAGATTTGAAACTTGTGGTGCTCCGTGGCTTTGAACTAAATTTCCCAATGAAGCTCTAAACGAGCTAGGTGGAGGCCCTTAGGGGAGGCCATCGCTTGTAGGTTGGAGGCCATTGCTACTGGTAGCAAGAAGCTACTAGGGTGGAGGCCATCGCCATTAGGTGGAGGCCATCGCTGAGCTTCAAATGAAGACAAAGACAAGAGCTTACAGTTGTCGCTCAGCTGATCTGTGGAAGTCTGCCCATCATTGCCCATCGATTGATTGACAATCGAGCTTGGCTTGATGTACGCCCATTTTGGGTGAAAAAGATCTTGCTTGATTTAAACTGTGGCAGCATGAAGAACGCTCCACGATGCTCCACGTTTCTGAGCACCCGCTCCTTTGATCATGCTCTTGAAATAAAACCGACCTGCTCGTGGGGTCAGGTTGGCCTGAACTTGGTTCTTTGGGTCAAAGCAGATTCATCTCTGATCTGCAGGAAGCCCTCCACCTCTTCTTCGCTGAGGGACAGCAGGCGTCTTCGGGGCCTCTTCGGGGGCCCTGGACCTTTTGAATCTGAACATGTCACACGTCGGTGAGCACCGTTCGCTACGCGCCAAAAGCGGCGCGGTTTTCTCCGGTCGAGGTCGATGTTCGATGGATTTCGATGGTGGGTCTTCGGTACCATGAAATGTCACCGAGGTGACGTCACGATTTCGGGCTGTGCTCCGACCCACCGGGCTAATTCGTGTTGATTCCGACAGGTTCCGAGCTTCAGCAGCCGAGAAGGCGAAGAACCCTTGCTGCAGGATTCCTTCACCGGTTTCACGGCGCATCTGGGCGGCGTGATTCCGGTGGCCGGAGCCCAGCGCACGCAGCGCGCGCCGCGCGCAGCGGGTGCCAATGGCTATGCGGCGGCAGCCAGGACATCCGAGCCGTCTCGACGATGCGTCGATCGACGGCGCGTCGACCGAAGGACTCCTTTTGAGCCCCAGGACTCCTTGGGGTCGAAGTTTTTCTTTGGAACAAGAGGACGCTACTATATAGTATCAAAGCGAACAAAGGGCATCGCTATGAATGGAGCAAGAAGCTATTAGTAGCTCCTGGCCTTACTACTAACAAGAAGCTAGTAGCTATAGAGGATTCAGTTGAATGCCGAAAAAAGGCCATGGGTTCCTTATGAGTCCTCCATGGTTCAGTGATGTTTGTTGGACTGCTTGGTAACTTGAGATCCCACTTCGAGGGGAGTAGAAATCACTATCCACAGACAGAGGATGGAAGGAGTGGCTACTCCCACCATGTGCGTTGTTCCTCATTGTTCCTCTAGCCACACTTTCTTGCGCATCTACTGAATACAGTTTTTCAGGTGACCGCGAACAAGAAGTCTTGGCAGTGGGATAATAAATAGTATAATGTTCAGTTATGAACTTATCTCGCTTGGGTGGATGGCAGACGTGCAAGACGGCAGTCAGTGGGTCCATGGCGCCCCGCGAAACCTCACCCGAGGACACCATCGGAGGTGCCAGCACAGCCCCAGGAGCAATTTGTGGAGTACTGCTTGTTTGGATTTTCGATTTTTTCCACTAAATTGCATTCATTTGCATGACGTAAACCAACAAATTGCTGTCCTCCCACAAGCTCACATCGGCTTTTTGATTCACAGATGTCCTTGAAGACGACCTTGCTCGGCTTGCTTGGCTGGTGCGGTTCAAATTCTTCACAGGACAAGTCCTTTCTTGGCACCATGTCCAAAGTGTGGACTACCGCCCACCAGGTGCCGCTTTGATTCGCACGACAGGACACAACAGGGTTGTTGTGGTGGTTGCTGGTTGCCGGTTGTTGTGCAACCGCACCAAGCTCCCCTAACTCTTTGGGAACGCCCAAAAGGTGGAAGCTCCGGTCAGGTCCAGTTTCAGCAAACGGCCCGCCTTAAAACGGGTGGTTAGAGATCAGTTTATTGATTGAGGGAACCACGGCCTTTTCCTTTTCGTTTAGGTTGGAGATATTATGAGGCATTGTTCTTAGGTTGGAGGCCATCGCTTGTAGGTTGAAGGCCATTGCTAGTAGGGTTTGGCCCAAAACCACGGCCTTTTCCTTTTCATGTCTTCACTCTCCAGCATGATATGCACCTCTTTCCTCCTTAGCAGCCCCCGCGTTGGTTTTTCGCAGAGCACGCGGGCGTCGTAGCGCTAAAAGCACAAGCAAGGCACTATTGGGTGTGGCTTCCGAGGCGAGATTGTTATCCTGACAGGAAGGAAGTGTCACCTTGCAGGTTCAAGTCATGTTGCTTTCTTTTCTTTTTTGTGCACAAAAAAGGTCCACTTGTGATTCATGTGATCACAAAAAAGGTATAATTGTCTGGTATCACTGATCACTTCTGTCTTTGCTTCGCTTTGGCTTTTTCCACTTCACTATGGACCCTAGAATCTGCACGCTGTCTGTGCGAAGATGGCGCACGATCGGATCGGTTCGCCCCAGGATTTCGAGCAGTGGTTCCAGGATCGCTATGGTCCGCCAACGCCTGTCTTCGTGAAGGCGACTTCAACAGAATGCCGGTGATGGTAAACGGGATTCTGCCCTTGGATAGTACTGCCCTTGTTACTAGTAGCGATGCGCTGGTTACTATCTCTTTTGAGAAGCTGACAATTTTTCCTATGCCTTTGAGAGTGCCTTTGAGCCCTTGGACCTGACTTTCTGAAAAAAGAGAAAGCTCAAGGAAACGACTAAGACTAAGAAGCTTGGAGCGCTCATGTGGCACCATTTTGCAAGCACCCCCAAGAACCCTGCTGTTCAGAGAACATCTCTGCGGAAACATATTCTGCGGAAGCGCATGCTTCCGCTATCTTCCGCTAGGTAACCTTTGGTGATGCGGTGCAAGAAGCCCTTGGACAGCGGAGGTTGCTGATGGCTTGGTTTCACCAGGACCGACGGTGTCAGGCTGACTTGCGAACGACTTGGATTGTGAACGAAACTTCAAAGAGTCACGTCCAGCAGGCTTTCTTCAATGTGGAAGAGTCTTTGCAGGAAGATAATGCAGCCTCTCAGAAGTTTTGCAGGCGCACCCTCCTCCTTTGTTGCTGTTTTGTCATCAAGAGGAGTCCCAAATCTTAAAAGAATCCACACAACAAAGGGCTCGCACAACAGTCTTGTTCTCAAGACAGATTTTCTCCGAAAGCTGGTCTTCAAGTCTTCAAGTAAAGGCCGGACCGATTTGGAGCTCCACTGGTCTCTTCAAGTCTGAGCTTGTCAAAGAGAGGAATTGGTTTCTGAGTTTTGGTTCTCGTTCGTCGCCAGGGAGGTGCTTCAGACTCGCTGGGTCTTGGACCGACTCGAGGACTGTCTGTTTCAGTCGGCCACGGACCTTTCCGACGTCACTCAGAATCGGAGGCCATCGCGAAGAGGCGAATAGGAAGCGACGTTTCGGACATCTCTAAACCGGGTTCGCGACCGGAGTGATCTTCTTTCCCGGCGAATTCTCCGAGTGAGACAGAGACCAGGGTCCGAGGGCGAAGAATATCACAGTTGTGTGGGGCCCTGTGGGGAAGAGAAGTTGAGGGAGATTGGCAGGTGCTCTACTCGCATGCGGTCTTGTCGCACAAGCACGATATGCATCCAAACCTCGACCGAACCAAAATGTTAAAAGAGGATAACAAAAATCGTGGGAAAGCTGAAGAGGAAACGTTCCGACAAACAACAGTCCCTCAGAGAACGCAGAGGCAAAACATACTAAGGAAGGACTGAACAACAGAAGACTCAGCATCCTCTTACCATTCTTAATTACAGGGGTTCGTACCAGGGAGACGTTCTTCAAAGACGTGCTTCTGACCTCAATGAGAGGTCCCTTAGTGATTCGATTGAAACTCACTGGCGGCTACCCTCGAAATGTCATTTTTTTTTGAGCATGTGGCATGTGTGAAGGCGGGGCTGTTTGCGTCCACGGATTCCGGTTCGAAGAGGAAAGAAAACGTGAACGGCTAAGCATCGATGGGAAAACGCGACTGCTTGGCATCACCCGCGTGCTCAGCATGCTCTCTAGGAAGATCTCCTGCTATGGGCGGGTGATGTGTCTCGCTTCGAGCCCTCGCAAGTGGCCAGGCGCGGGCGAGTCCTGTTCGAAAACAGAAAAGAACACGTCCGAAGATGACAACGAAAAGGTCGATCTGATTGCCATTCGGGAATTCCTTGGGTGTTTGAATGCCCTTTGTTCTCCACACAAGTTGTTTTCTGCATCCATTGTTTGTTGGACCAGGAAGGACGTTTTGCCAGGCTGCTGGGTTTGCAGCGCTTCCCTGCATTGGTGCTGCTTCAGCCCGTCGCCAATGACGTCAACTATCATGCCAATGTCGACTTGTGCGGCTCTGAGAGCATCGCTACTATAGTAGCTTCTTGTTACTAGTAGTAATTGCCAGGAGTACTAGTAATGCCCTTGTTACAGAGACACTCCAGTTTCCAACTTGGAAGGATGATGCATGATTTGGCGCCCCTTTGGTTTTGCCACGTTTCATTGTTCGATTGGTAGTGTGTCGTCATGTTTTGTCAATCTGGAACCAGTTAGTTCAACCATGTCAAACATGAGACAAACACACGATTTATAGAATGGGTTTCAAGTTCAACATTTTTTTTAAATTATCCTAAGTACCCACAGACATCTCACACAATCGACTCCTTCAACCTTCACATGGTCACATGCCTCGTGCGATGGTCACTGAGTCACTGCGTGGAATGGCCTTTGGGCACCTTTTGCGTGCCCTTGCACAGCTGTCAGTCCGAGCGCTTAGACGGTGAGATGGCGAGCCCAACGACACGAAACGGATCGGCTCGGACGCTCGCCCAACACATGGAGTTCGTGGCGAAGGTAGGTGGAGTTCGTGCCAGTGCGAAGGGTCGCAGATTCTTTTATCCAACCAACAGCCCTAGTAGCGTCCTTCTTCCTAGTACGGCCAGGAGCCCCGATCGTAGCGTCTTGTTTGACATGTGCAGACCATCGCCGCGATGCAAAGACCCGACCGTTCGGAGCCGTTCGTCCGACGCGTCGCCCAGGTTTTCGATGGGTGCGGATGGTTCGACCGTGGACCCGGAAATGGCGGGGGGGGCGACAGCACAACACTCGCGGGGCGGGGGGCGACAGCGCAACACTCGCGGTGGAATCCGACATGTTTCATTTGAGTCTCTTGACACATGTTGGAAGTATGGGGAATTTGGAACTTGCCATTGTGCATTGTGGTCGTGCAGGTGATTGCAATGGTCGAGACCACGGCACAGGAGAAATGAGGGTGATGACCTGACATCAAAGACTCCATGCTTGGTGACAATTATCTTTTTGAGCAAAGACGCTACTAGTAGCTCCTGGCATTACGAACAAGAGGACGCTACTATATAGTAACAAAGCGAAGAAAGGGCATCGCTATGAATGGAGCAAGAAGCTATTAGTAGCTCCTGGCCTTACTAGTAACAAGAAGCTACTAGTAGCTATAGAGGATTCAGTTGATGCCGGAAAAGGGCCATGCATTCGAGCGACGACACAAAAAGGGGGACCGTGGACGTCTTCGACTCCGGTCTTCAGGACTTCCGAGAGGAGGTGCAACATGTCCAGGACGGCGATGGATTCTCTTACGCCGCGAAGCGAAGCAAAGCGAAGCGCGGAACCGGTTTTGCCGTTGGTCTGGGCGAACGGAAACATGCGAGCCAAGGATTGAGCCTAATATGGCTTTGTATTTTTGCTGTTGTTACGATAGACAAGATGTAAAACTTGATAACTGTTTCAGCTCCCAACCACTTTAAACACGGTCCTTTTCCTTCTCAAAGAGTGCATGGCTGAAGAGAATCTGCATGCCATGCTGTAGTATAGATGGTTCCAATTGAAGGATGTGACCGGTGACTTGTACATGTCATTGAACGCGCGTTGTCGGCTAATTCAATTTCTTCAGACGTTGTCTCCAAGGTTTGGGAGCAAACATACACGCGTGACGCATGTGGCTTTGAAGGCAACGGATCTGTCAGGAGGAAATGCAGCGTCGGGACGTGCAATTAGCGGAAGACCGGCGTTTGCGTGAGCAACAGGACTGCTGACACGTATGCGGGATGAGCGGGTTGTGAAGGTCAGTGAGATGCTGGATAGAATTACAGTGACCTTGACTGGACTTTTTGGGGAGGTGTATCTAGCAGAATCTAGCTTCTTGCTCCTAGTAAGGCCTGGATCTCACAACGGCCATATAACTGTCACATCGAAGAATGTGGATGTTGCCAGCGTCGCTTCTTCCAGCACAGGACCTCGATTGCGGTCATCCCCAATGTGTAGAAACCCACCCAATATGGCCTTACACAAGCGCCAAAAACACACCGACCGCCTGGCTGCGAAAAAACGAAGAAACACCGTGAGACCGATCGCGCCCGCGCGGACCGTTCCAAACACCCGACCGAGCAACGATTGGGGAGGGAGAATGGCGGTCCCAAAGTCTGACCATGTCGGAGTGGCAGGACAGACTCCTAGTAAGGCCAGGAGCCCCTAGTAGCTTCTTGTTCCTAGTAGCGATGCCAGGAGCCCCTAGTAGCGTCCGATCGCTCCTAGAAGCGATGGCAGGACAGAGAGTATGAAGAGGCCTTGCTCGCAGACCAGCTCGCCGCCCTCCGACGCGCCGAGGCGTTTGATCTTTTGGGAGATTGGACTGGTGTACAAAGCAAAAGTGATGGAAGATCCAGTTTCTAGGAAAACATGATCCTGGTGATTCCTCCTCCAAAAAATCGATTTGGAAGACATCATTCTTTCGGCAACTTACTCGATCCCCATCGATCCCTGTTCGGGTTTTGAAACAGGACAGCAGCCTTCCAAATGATGCAGGCCCGTCGCAGGCGGGGAGGTGTCATATGGTGCCATCAATTTCAGTGCTCCGATTGTGGTCGTCTTTTTCTTTGTGTACTACTGGCGCAGTTGTGCATAGCAATGCATTAATTCTGAAACTTAGCTCAAGAATTCAGGGAGGGACCTTTGCTACTAGGCTAGAGGCTGGACGCTTTTGCAGGTCGATGAGAAGTCTCAAAAGGCCGAAGAGAAGGAGAAGGCCGCCAAGGAAGCGGAAGAGGCCCAAGAGCGGGCCGAGGAGACCAAGTCAGAGTCAGTGGTCAACTGGTTTCGGGATGCTTTCGGTTTGTTTCAGTTGTGTCACTGGCCATGACGAATTCTATTCGGCACCAGGGGAAACGCGCCACCGATTCACGGCGTGGGCGCACAGCGTGGTGGCACAGCTCAGGAGGCTCAACGTCAAAAACGAAAGGACGAAATCCTCGCGCAACCGGAGCCACCGGTGGGGCACCCTGAGAGGACCAGATTCATGACGGTTGGGGGAAGAAGTCGAAGCTTCTCAAGTCTTCGTACTTCTTTAAGCAGAACATTGCTTAAGCAGAATATTCAGAATAATGCGCTGAGTCTTGATTCTCTTTAGATGTTTCACGTGTCATGGCCCATTTAGATGATTTTAGATGTGCCTTCTGGACGCTTCTTTTTGATGCCTCAGGCCTCCAGTGCCACTGCAAGGAGCGAAGTTGGGACAGAATCGCACATTGTTTCTTGATGTCAATTGCCACTTGAAATGCTCACGATTTCTTCAAGCGTGGCCTGGGCACACCTAGAGAATCTTGCAGCGTTTATTTCCGACATCATGACAAAACACTGATTTTTTGCGGCAATTGAAGAAACACACCGCTTTGCCAGAAACACGCTGCATTCCCAGAAACACGCCGCAAACATTGTCAAACACGCCTCATGGAACTTCGCTCGCAAAAGCAAGTTTTCCTTTCATGTCAGTCGCTCAATGAGCTGACGAATCGTCCATCATTATCCATTCTTGGCAGCTTTCAAGCGTTAAGTGTCCTTAATTCATCATGCGAAAGGGTCCAGAACTCACGCCCTTCATCCCCTAAGCCATCCTAAGCCTATAAGTATACTATGGTGTATTTAACATATTTGAATAGTTGATTTGAAAAAAAATATTGGTGTTGTAGCTGTGAGCCCAAACTGGATTTCATAGAAACCTCTGCACTCCATACATGTTGTTAATTTGTTGTTGGTTTAGGTTGGTTGGTTGGGTTGATGCTTGATGAGCTGAGTCAATTAGATTCGGATTCACACTTTGTGGGATTTTAAAGCAGAAAGTCGATCGCTTTGTTTTGATGGTTGGTTGAAAATCCTTCTAGCAACCCTTTGTGTACAACGAGCAACAAGGTTTTCTTGGCTTCCATGGCTTAGTTTCACACTGCTAAATTGAAAAATATGTGAGGGAGCAAATGATCTAGCATAGTGATCTGTCAAGAACTGATCTGAAGTGGGGTTCAAAACATATTGCAAAGGATGTGAGCAACCAAAAAGGTCGTTGATGAAAGTATCACATCGGAGGTCCTAGGGCCATGAAACCTGCATGGGCGATATACAACACTGTCATATGCTTGTGGACTTTATCGGAAACACTGGAAAATGTTGCGGGGAAGAACCAAAGGCGATAACATTTTGTGATAGAATAAATATGGCCGTTCGCTCATGCGCAGTTAAGATATTTAGTGTTGTAGTGACTTGAGAACATCTCAAGCTCTTAAAATGATCGCTAGCGTTAGTGACACTTGTAACAAGCTTTTGAACTCTCTGGAGCAGCCTAAAAGATTTGCTGTAAGAAAAACTTTTGCGGAAAACATAACTTTTTGAGTGATCCTGAGGAATCCTAAGTTTACTACACAATTCGCTAGCGTTAGTGAATGGTTCAAGAGGTTGAGGAAATCTCAAGCCCTTACAGCACTAAATATCTTGAAAGCGGCTTGTCACTAATATCTGCAGCCTCCTTTCATTTTTAGATGGTGACAGGGTTCCACAACTCATTCGCTAACGCCCTGGACTGTTGTAAGGAGTACAAATTCGCTATCGCTAGCGTTAGTATGCGTTAGTGAATGTTGTAAC